GGGACGCGGTAGTCGGAACCGGCCTTCTTGGCAGGCGTGGAGTTGATCGATGTCATGGGCGGTGTAGTCATTCAGTTGTTCTTGTCGTGGATACGTAGTAGGGGCTTAGTGGGCTGCGGTGGTGTTGGGGTACTTCTTGTTGAATGTCCAGGTCTTCTTCGCGGACATAAAAGGGCGCGGACGAGGCTGGCGGGCGGCGGTGTCTACGACGGCGTACGCGACACAAGTAAAAAGGTAAAGTGAGTTCTTATTTTAGCGATGAGTCATTCGATTTACCGGATATTGGTATCCGGAGTACCCAAGCGGCGCCAAAAAAGCACCTTGCCGGCGTCGAAAATTGAGAGAAAGCGACCTCGTAGGCAGCGCCCAGTACAGTAGCAAGGTCCCATTCCATCCTCCGACGTCGACGACGCGGCGAGCGGTCGAGGCGAAATTGATGTGCAGCGACAGAGCGACTTCGAAGGCCTTCTGTCAGCTGGTAGAGCATGTCCCACAAAACCGCACTTCGACGAACCGAGGGCTCTAGTAATCCGAGGGCTGCGACTGATCGTCGATGCTAGAGTTGCCAGCCAGTGGCGAGTAGCCTTACACTATTTGCGTACTTCGATCGGTGGCTGCGACATGCGCTGGCGCATGAGTCATTCGGCCGAGTGACTCATCCCCGTGGTATCCAGTCGAAGTCGATCTGCCGCCGAGGGAAAACAAAGGCAGGCCAAGTCAGTTTGAAGAGCTGAAACTAAGGATGCGCGCTGGTAGGGGCGCTGCGGGTGGACTCCGAGGCGCCAAAAGACGGCGGTTCGCAGGCTTCAACGGCAACTCGGATCGGCAGGCAACGGTGGACATGAGGACGCGACGTGCTCCCCTATCAATGTCGAGCTATTACGCAGTACCTCGATGGAGTGCAAGTACGTTGGCCGACTGCGCATTGGCTGACGACCGACGGCTCCAAAGTGGGTACCGTTCCGAAACCTCTTCTAATGCATACGTTTTGGGATATACATTGACAGAGGATTTGCCGGTTTCACCCACAGACCGGTTGCAGACCACGGGCATGAAGGTAGCATGGCGGCGAAGGCGACTGCTCATGCTGCGCGTAGGCTGGCGACGACGACGAGTACGATGCGCAAGTCGAAGTCATTGCGCCGCGGAGCCGCCACCGCTACTTCCGCCCCGAGGGTACTCACTCGTCCTCCGACCACTGGTGCTGACGACAGCCTGCATGTAGTTCCGCTGTACGAGGTCGTGAGCTACGACGGTCACTTTGAAGTGCGCGAGCGGCCACAAACCAAGGTCTGCGTAGATCTCTCGCCACGTGTGCTCATGCGTCCTAGTTGGCGGCGACGGCCAAGGCGCGCTCGTCCAATACCTCGCCGTACAAGGCTGCGGCCTCCAAGAAGCGCCCGCGCCCCCAGTCGTCGCACCGCGTCGTTCGCGCCGTACTGGACGAGCGCGCGAAAACTGCACCGCCGCCAATGGTCCCACTGAAGAGCCCACGGCAGTTGCAGCCGCTGACGCAGCCCCCCGAGGTGCGGCCCCATATACAACGGCCCACCGCCGAGGTGCTCGACGCCCAGGTATGGCTCGCACCGACGGACATGGCTCCAATGCGACGCCGTAGATCGTTGTGCGTGAAGGCATTCTCGCAAGCATGGCCAAGCTCTGCGCGCGCCCGCACCTCGCCACGTCACCGACGCGGCTCATTCAGCTCGTCCAGCTCTGCCAGCGGCTTCGGCAGCACACGATGGACATTGTGGCCCACCACGGACCGTCAGTCGCTGCATACCTCACCAAGGTACGACGAGAGAGCGCTGCTGTCTCTAACGACGTGGGTGCAGATGGCCACGGACACCAACTTTCTGCACAAAGCGCCTGTCTTGCTGCAAGCGCTGGGCGTCGAAAGCCTCGTGTGCAACCCTCTGCTGTGCGCGATTCCGCTCACGCAACCGGAACTCGCAGCGTACGTTGTCTTTCGACGGCCCCGCGACCGCGACGAGCTTCTGCGACGCCTGCGAGCGACCAACGAGGTCGACGAGACGCGGCTCCTCGAGGCGCTCGTCGTGCTATCGACGGCGATGGCCGCAGCGCCACCCACATCCGAAGATGACGATGCGCTCGAGACACACCGCGTGCAACCGGAACTGGACATGCCATCGAAAACAGAGTCTTTTGTGACCGCACCACGCGACGACGACGACGACGACGACGACGGTCGACGCGAGATAGAGACCACGTACGACGACGATGCGAGCGACGAGCTGCAGAGCGCCGACGAGGACGACGGCGCAACCTTTGGCACCGTGGCGTCGCTCTGTGACGCGATGCAGGCCGACCTCAAATCGCACTTTGGCGCGCACACAAACATGTGGGCGTTGGCACCAGAGCCCGCCGACGACCCCGTCAACGAGCCCCACGTCGTCGACCCCGTCCTCAAGCCCTCACCGAGTCTCGAGTCGCCGGGTGCGTGGAGCGCAGACGACGCCGTCCATATCTACGAAGAGGCGCTGACGCTGCGCTGTTTTCGAGCTTGGCGCGCGTGGCGGAGCCGAGAGCGCGCCAAAGTAGCCATGGCGACGATGCATCGAACGCGCCGCGTGCACCGGCTTTTCCGGGCGTGGCACCGGCTCAGTCGTGGGCGGCCGCTGCGAGCTCGCTGCCGCCGCCGACGCTTCTTTCTGCTCTGGCGACGCGCCGTGCGATTTGTCCAGCGACGCCGACAGCTCTTGCGGCGCTGCGAGCGCCATACGCTAGCGATTTCCATGACGCGCTGGCGTCACGACTGCGCGCTCGCGCGAGACCGGCAGAGGGTCGCAGCGACCGCCATAACAGCGGCATGGCGGGGGACGCGCGCTCGATGCGAGGTTCAAAAGCTAGTACAAAGCCGGCGCGACGCGGCCGCGCAACGACTGCAACGAGCATGGCGGGCCTATGTGTGCCGGTGCCGCTGTGCTGCAGCGCGACGTCGTCGATCGGTCGCCAGCTCGCGCCTCCAGCGAATGTTCCGGCAGCACCGAGACCGGGTTGCACGACGGTATCAAAGTGTGGTGGTCGTGCAGCGGTCGTGGCGACGGTATTGGCGTTTCTGCCGACGCCGGGCCACGGCCGTTGCGTGTATTCAGCGCGCGTACCGCCGACACGATCAACGTCGGCGGGCTTGGGCAGCACGGGTGCTGCAGCAGAGTCTCAGGCTTCATGCGTGGTGGCGGCGGCAATGTCGGTGCGTCAGTCTACTTCAGCGAATTTGGCGCGTGCACTGGTGTCGGCGGCAAGCAAACGAACGAGCGGCGCGTGGGTTCCAGCTGCTGTGGCGGCGTCACCGGGTGACGCGTCGGTGCGACCGACGACGGCGGTGCCGGTGCGTCGCTGCCGCACGGCGGATCCAGCGCTGGCTCCGAGGCACACAAGCCCGCCGTCTTGCCTGCACGCACGTGTTGCACGCGCTACTGCTGCGCATCGATGCAGCGGCACAGGTGCAAGCCGTTTGGCGAAGGTACCGTAGACGGCGCCGCGCAGAGATGGCGCAAAGGAGGCGACATGCAGCAGCTCGAACGCTACAGCGATCGCTGCACGCATTCTCCGTACGAACGATATGCAGACGCTTGCTGGCGGCAGCGGTCGACGCCACACACGCGCACGCGGCGGCCACGATTGTCCAAACGCTTTACCGAGGCTACGGCGCGCGCCGACGGTACCGCGTCGTGCGGCGTCATCGAGAAAGCATCGCAGCTCGCTGCCTCTCTCGGTTCTTACGCGAGATCGCTCTGCAACAAGCGGCGTGTGCGGATGCGCTCAGCATGCTTGTGAAAGCCGTGGAGCAGTGCGCGGCCGCCGTCCGTCTGCAGGCGGTTTGGCGGCAACACGCAGCTCGCTATCGCTACAAGCGGCTGCAGCGCAGCGTGCTTCGTCTGCAGCGCCGACTGCGTCGATGGCGCGCAACGACTGCAGCGTGTACCGACGTGCTCACATCGATCGTCGAGCAGACCGTGTGGCGTGCTGCCGAGTGCTCGGCGCGGTGCCTTCAACGCTGGTGTCGGCGCAAGATGGCTGCTGCCGCAAGACGGCGTAAGGTGGCGTTGCAGTGCGCAGCTCGCGTTGTGCAGCGCCGTGTCCGCACGAGTCAGCAGCGTCGCGCGTGTTGGTTGGTGCTGCAACGTCTTGTGGCGCGCGTGCATCGTCTACACGCTGCCGCGACGGTCCTCCAGCGCTGCTTTTCTGACTACCGAGATGCCATGGTTGCCGCTCGCAGGTCGCAGTGCCGGACCGTCATCCGGTCGATGGTTGCGCACATCGAAGACGCGCAGACGCTGAGTCGCCGCTGCGCACACGAGGCGCTGGGCGCTGCTGCAGGCGCCGTTTTGGTAGCTGAAGTAGCGCGGCGAGAGGTCGCTGCATGTCTCAAGGCTATGGTTGCCGCGGTGGAAACTCAGCACGAGGTGACGCACTGCCTCAACGACGTGACTGCGGACGTCGAGATGTGGCATGAGGCAACGCGTTGTCTGGAAGCGCTCCTGGCGATGCAGCGTTCGGAACGCCAGCAGATGGGCCGCGAAGACGCGTTGGCCGCGAGCCAACGCATCTGTGCGCACGTGACTTGCGCGCTTGACGAGCTCCAAGTTCGCATCGTGGCCCAGCATACGGCCGCCCGGGCACTGGTCGACATCACGCTGTCGGTGTCTGCGGTCGCGATGGCTCGGGCGACAGTGGCGCAGCGGCGTTGCCTCGAGGCCGTGGCATCACGGGTCGCCCGAGACGGCGTCTGCGCGGCCACACGCTGCATGCTGGCGACGGCCTTCGTGTCGCGTGTCGTGTCGACATCCGTCCAACGCATCCAGGCCGCCACCCAAGAATTGCGAGCGTCTGCCGCTCGGCACCACGTTGCCAGAACGTTCGCGATGTCGGTGGTCGAGACGACCGTGCGCCGAGCTACCGCGTTTGTGGCGGAGCCAGTTGTTGCGGAAGCACCACTCAACGCGGATGGCTTGCTCACTGTGCGCGAGGCGGCCGTCGACCAAAGCCTTCTCGCTCAGTCGTCCACCGAGCGCACGGCCGCCGCGCTGGCCCTTCGACTTGTCCAAACGAGCGCGTCGCAGGCGTCGGCAATTGTACAGTGGCGTCGCCTCTCTACTACCACGGCTAATAGTGTGGCGACGCGCGCGATCGCATCGCTCGTCGCTGTCGAGCGCCAAGCGGTCATCGCGCGCAACGTACAGCGAGCCGCCTCGGCGAGTGTCGAGGCGATGTGCGCAAGCGTCCGAGGCAAGCACGCGCGCCGACTCCAAGGATGGTACCGCTACTGGCGCAGCCTCCGGCACTTGCGGCGCATCGCCGGCCGTCTCGTCCGCCAGTGTACTTTGGTCACACTCCGGCTGATCGCCTCGCGTCGTCGGGCTGCGGGCGTTGTCTCGACGGTCGTCTGTTGCTTTATGGCGTCGCAGCGGCGGTGGCGGGCGGCTTCGTGCATTGCAGAGGCATGGCGCCGGCATCGACGACGGCGCTTACTGGCCACCGCTACGTCGTTTGCCTCTCGGTCGCTGTCCCAGGTTGCGCTGCTCGTCATCGTCGGTAGAAATTTAGATTCCTTGTAGGGTCTCGATGCGATAGCGATACACGCCGAGACGGTGCGTGTCCTCGCCGCGTTGACGCTGCAAGTCGAGTGCAGCTGGCAGGTCGCCCAAGCGGTCACGGCGAGCGCTCTGGTGAGCAGTGCGAAGCAGGCGACGGCGCGCGTGCGACTGCAAGCAGCGTGGCGCCGGTACCGCCGCCGACGCCGACGCTCGCACCTCCGCGTCTGCGTCGTTTCGTGGACGACCACCGGGTTGTCTGCAGTCTACACGAGCCGCACAGCAACAGCGCGACGCCTCGCAGCGCTGCGGCAGCGCCACGCGACGCGAGTGCTCGCGCGCGCGTGGCGGTGTTTCCGGCGGCGACGAGCAGCACAGCGCCTTCAAAGAACCTACAGGCGGCACCGCGTGCGACGCATCTACCGCCTCGAGTGTGCCTGCGCCTCGACGCTTCAGCGATGGCTGCGACCGCGTCTGCACCGCCGCCGGTGTCAGCGGCGGCTCCAGCGGTTTGCGCGGCGCTTTGTCCAAAAGAAGATTTGGTCGTCGGCCACGCTCCTCGCCGGCGACACCACCACGTACTTCGCGCTCTGGCTCTACCGCGGCTCGGCGTGGGTCTCGTGCGTGTTGCATCAAAAGCGGGGGCTCCTCGAGCTGAATACGCCCACGTCCAATTACCTCCGGCGCGTGCAGCGCGACCACGACTTGGCCGCGCTCGACATCACCAACCACCTTCTGGTCCGCGAGACGCCACGCGGCGTCTTGCTAGCGCTGCCGCCGACCTTCAACTTGCAAGCGCAGCTGCAGCGGTCGCAGAGCCTCTCGGTCCTCAACCAAGGCAAAGTCAAGCCACCCGCGCGCTCCGTGCTCGCAACCGCCGTCACGCTCAGCGTCGACGACACGCTCCAGAGCCTGCTCGACGGCCGGGACGTCAACGAACGCAACGTACGGGCTGCTTGTACGCTTAGTAGCTTGACAGTTTAATCGTTTTCGCAGGCGCTCGGCGAGACGCCACTGCACCTCGTGCTGACGCCACCGCGCGGCTTTGACGACAATGACGCGCGGGACGCGATGCTCACCTTTCTGCTCGAACAGGCGGCGGACGTCGACGCGCGCGACTACGACGGCGTGACGCCGCTCATGCGCGCAGCCGAGGCTGGTAGTTCGTCGCCAACAAACGAATAAAGTGACGCAAACGAGGCGCGTAGGGGATATCCGCGGCATCACGCGGCTGCTCGACGCCGGCGCCGCGATTCGTGCGGTCGACAACAAGGGCTACAACGCGCTGCACCGGGCATGTGCCAAGAACCAAGTCGCAACGGTCGAGTTCTTGGCCGGTCGCCCAGCGCTCACGACGGCGTCGTACGACGGCATGTTTCCGTTGCACATGGCGGCGCTCCTCGGCCACGCGTCGGTCGCAGTGGCGCTCCAAAATACGACGTCGATCGATGTGCGCGACGGCGACGGACGCACGCCG